CATCAAAATTTATAGCAAAGCTCAAACTCTAATAAGCACAAACAAGAAAGAGCAGTGGAATTGGAATATAGGAGTAAATGTAACACCATTCAGTAACTAAATCTATTCGTAAAAAGGGAGTAAAGAGTGAAAAGAAAAGGCACCTTTTAACATTTTGCTCGAGTTGAGAGCACTTCTGTTCAAGCTCCCTCAGCTTCTCAATGGTTTCATCACGGCCTTTTTGAGCATTCATAAGCTGAAGCTCTAAAGCTACGTACTTCTTTTCAAAGGAATCCAAAGAAACCTAAAAATATAAGACAAGGGAAGGAATACAATGTAACTAAATTCAGAAGAAAAAACAAGCAGACAGGAAAATAACAGAGAAAAATGATACTTCTCCAAACAAATTTTCTCCAAATACAAACAAATTATATATGTTTTTGGAGATGAAAAATTCTCTAGTCACTGATATTAGCAGCAGATGGTGCCAGTTAGCTCTCTAATCACCTTCAATGCAGCATTTTCCTTTCGTACTTCATCTACTGCAGCTAGCTCTCTTTTTAAAGCAGATTTTTCCTTTGCTGACAATTCCAATTGATTTTGCAGAACTGCATTCTTGTTGCACTCATTAATTGTTGCCAATTTAGCTGCATCTAATTCAAGATTCAGAGCTTCTAACATCTTTTGAAGTTTGGAAATCTCTATTTGCTTAGCCTCTTCATTAGAAACCTACATAACGATGAAGAATCATGACAAAAAGTTCTATAAATCTCACCTGCATTAAAATACAATAAAAAAACAGAACTCTTTTTATTAAAATCAAACTCATAATGTTTCCCAAAGGCCTCTGCACCAGATCATTAATTAATGGACTGGTCAGACATTAGGTCCAAATTTCAGAGAGAAAAGTAAGTAGGTAACAAATAACTTCAAAATAAAACCAGCAACAATATGTAACTGTTAGAATAGTATGTTAAAGTAGTACAATGTATATAGTAGAATAGTCTCACATCTTGTATATGATAGATTAGTTTCTATACTTGTTAATTGTAAAAACCACTTCAACCCAAAAATTTAAGCTGGTGTAGGTGAGACTACATTAATGGTTTATATTATTCTATAAAAGTTTATATATATATATATTCCCTGTGTGCTCATATTAGACACACAATTATTCAATCTGGTATCAGAGGTCTTTGTTTTGGGAACTTTCGCTTCCACTAAAACCCTAAGCCCACTGCTTAGGTGTGCCAAAACCCCAAGCCCACTGCTTAGGTGTGCCAAAACCCCAAGCCCACTGCTTAGGTGTTCTCTCCTTCCTTGTTGTTCGTCCCTTCGGCTTGCAACTGTCAGAAGCACTGTTCACCGACAGAGTTACTGTTCATGTCGCCAGAGTTATTGTTCATCGCCGGAAACACTATTCCGACATCCTTTTTTGGTCGTTCCAGGACAGAACTGCTCAGTTTTGTCTCCTCCTTCTAGATTTTCTCTTGGTTATTCGTGGGTCTCCTCCTTTTCTGTTTGGCGCGTTTCTTCTTGTTTGGCTATCGGTTTGATTCTATTTGCTTTATTCTGCAAGTTTTTATTGCATTCATAATACCAGAATCATCTCTTGTTCACACAGAGTATGAGGAGCATTGTTACACGAAGTATCCTCACTTGCAACCCTCTCATGCTGCGAATATAGCTCAATGAGATACTACTTCATCTGCTTCAGTCTCTCTCTTCTACAGACTATGCACCACTCCAGACTCTTATCACGAAGGTTTCTCCTCAGTCTCAGCCTTCTGCTCCAGATACTATTTGAAGAAAAGAAGAAGTGGAAGAAGTGTTTTATCTGAATAATACTTTCTTGATTCATTGAGAGACCCAATGGGTCCTTTTTATATTGAGTACATCCAACTACCTCAACTACTTTAATAAATATACAACCACAAACTACATCAATAAATATACATCTACCAACTACATCAATAAATACTATCTAGAATATTCTACATATTCTACACTCCCCCTAAAGTTGGGAGATATATATTGATCATTCCCAACTTGCTGATCAAATTCTCAAAGGTCGGCTTAAGTAATCCTTTGGTGAGGATATCCGCCGTCTGTTCCTTGGTAGGTATATATGTCAAGCATACACTACCGTCTTCTAATTTCTCTTTGATAAAGTGACGATCAACTTCCACATGTTTTGTTTTGTCATGATGAACAGGATTTTGAGCAATGCTGACAGCAGCCTTATTATCACAATATAATCTGATAGGTAGGGAATAAGAGATCTTCAGCTCCTCCAGAAGCCTTCGTAACCAAATTCCTTCACAAATACCATGGGCTAGAGCCCGAAATTCCGCTTCTGCACTGCTTCTTGCAACAACAGTTTGTTTCTTACTTCTCCAGGTCACAAGGTTTCCCCAGACATAAGTACAATATCCTGAAGTAGATCTTCGGTCCATTGCAGAGCCAGCCCAGTCTGCATCTGTATAGATTTCAATCATCCTTTTGTGCCCCTTTTTAAAGAAAATTCCTCGACCAGGGGTATTTTTGAGGTATTTGAGAATTCTATAAACAGCACTAAGGTGTTTTCCTTAGGAGAATGCATGAATTGGCTAACCATGCTCACAGCAAAAGCAATATCAGGACGAGTGTGAGACAAATAGATTAATTTTCCCACTAGTCTCTGCTACTGCTCCCTATCAACATCTTCCCCGTCCTCAACTCCCATCTTGATATTAGCTTCAATTGGAGTCTCTGCCGGCTTGCACCCAAGCATACCTGTTTCTTGCAACAGGTCTAGAATGTATTTTTTCTGAGTTAAAGAAATTCCTTCCTTACTCCGAGCAATTTCCATGCCAAGGAAATATTTGAGAGATCCAAGATCTTTTAGTTCAAACTGGTCAGCTAAACATTTTTTTAAAGAGGTTATCTCCTCGCTATCATTACCAGTGACAATTATGTCATCAACATAAACGATCAGAATAGCAATTCTTCCTTTGTCGGAGTGTTTAAAAAATAAAGTGTGATCAGTCTGAGCTTGGGTGAACCCTCTTCCCTTAACAGCTTGAGTAAAATTCCCAAACCATTCTCTGGGAGATTGTTTAAGTCCATAGAGAGACTTCTGCAACTTGCACACAAAACCATCCCCTTTTTCAAAACCAGGAGGTGGATCCATGTAAACTTCCTCATGGAGATCACCATTCAAGAAGGCATTCTTAACATCTAACTGTTGCAATGGCCAATCAAGGTTGGCGGCAAGAGATAGCAGAACGCGGATAGTGTTAAGTTTGGCAACAGGAGCAAATGTCTCCTGATAATCTATCCCACGAGTCTGAGTAAATCCCTTAGCAACTAATCTGGCCTTATACCTATTGATGCTATTGTCTGCATTGAATTTTATTGTGAACACCCACTTGCAACCAACAGTTTTCTTTCCTTTAGGTAATGTCACAAACTCCCATGTTCCATTTTTTGTAAGTGCATCCATTTCTTCTAATACTGCATTCCTCCATTTTGGGTCATCAAGTGCTTCTTGGATATTTTTGGGTATCCTGGTACTATCTAACATAGTGTTGAAAGCACGAAAACCTGGAGACAACTTTTCATATGAGATATAATGGGAAATAGGATGAGCAGTGCAAGATCTAGTACCTTTCCGAAGAGCAATAGGCATATCAACGTTGGTTGTACTAGTACATTCAAGTGGGTTGCTGGAACAAGGACTCGAGTCAGGATCCTGGCAGTCTAGAGTAACTTCATGTGTTTTGCGCCTGCTGTAAAATTTTCCCCATTTACCAGGAGGATCACAAGGAGGATCATTAGATTCAGGTATAGTTGCTCCCCATGTTTCCTTCCCAATAACTCCACCTGTTTCCAAAGGCAAAGGTAAGACTACATCATTTGGTTTCCCAAGCTTATCTTCATCCATACCAATACCAATAGACTCCCCCTGAAGAGAAGTCGGGGAAAAAAAGGATTGTGTCTCATAAAAGGTAACATCCATGGAAACAAAAACCTTACGGAGAGAAGGTGAGTAACACTTATAACCTTTTTGATTAGGGGAATATCCTATGAAGACACATCTGATGGATTTAGGGTCAAGTTTGGACCTTTGATGTGGAGGAATATGCACAAAAACCACACAGCCAAATATTTTGGGAGGAAGAGAAGAAAGAGCACTGAAAGAGGGAAAAGATTTAGTAAGACAGGATAAAGGAGAATGAAAATTTAGTACCCAAGAAGGCATCCGATTAATGAGATAACAGGCTGTCAAGACGGCTTCCCCCCACAAATATTTAGGGACATGCATCGTGAATAAAAGAGCTCGAGCAACTTCAATTAGATGTCTATTTTTCCTTTCAGCCACCCCATTTTGTTGAGGGGTGTTAGGACAAGAACTTTGATGAATAATTCCATGTTGGTTTAGGTAATCTCCAAGAACTGAATTAAAATATTCAGTACCATTGTCTGTTCGCAGAATTTTGATAGAAGTCTGAAATTGAGTTTGAATCATAGCATGAAAGTTTTTAAAAGTGGATGCTGCCTCAGACTTATCTTTTAAGAGATATACCCAACATACCCTAGAATGATCATCAATGAAAGTAATAAACCAACGAGCACCCGAGACATTTTTTTCACGAGCAGGTCCCCAAATATCACTATGAATCAATGTAAAGGGAGAAGATTCATGATATTTCTTAGGAGAATAAGTGACACGAGAGTGCTTTGCAAGCTGACAAATATCACAAAGAAGGGAACTTGGCTTTTTATTGATAAATAAGTTCGGCAATAACTTCTGGAGATAAACAAAATTTGGGTGTCCCAACCTACGATGCCATAACAAAACATCATTACAGTCATCTGATAAACATAGAGAGTGGTTCGAAAAAATCCTCTTTTCACAATGAACATCTGTAAAATAGTATAGCCCTTCTTCCTCTCTAGCACTGCCAATCATCATCCCCGAGTCCTGTTCTTGAAAGATACAAGCATTTGCAGAGAACTTAGCAACACAATGCAACTCAGCAGTAAGTTTGCTAATAGAGATGAGATTACAAGTAAGAGAGGGAACATGAAGTACTGAGTTCAAAATAATATGCTCAGAAAGTTTAATGGATCCCTTTCCCGCAATAGTGGAGAAATTCCCATCAGTTGTTCTTATTCGTGACGGGTGATAGTAAGGGGTATAGGAGAAAAATAAGGTTGCATTACCTGTCATGTGATCAGAGGCTCCTAAATCAAGGATCCAACGATTACTATGTTCAACATGGAATGCCATACCTTTTTGAGCAACATGACTAGTTGCCTCAGCAGGTTGAGACATCAATTTCTGAAAAGACGAATTTTCAAAATTTTCAACGTCCATGGTTTTCTAACAACAGGTACCCAGAAAAAAGTTCCTCCAAATACGATTTTGACCCTCAAAACAGGAAGAGGGTTGCTCGCAAAAATCAATGAATGAGAGCAATCTTGGCTACAGTGAAACAGTAATTGCTACAGTAATGAACAGTACTGCTACAGTAATGAACAGTGCTGCTACGGGTCTTCTGTGGGCTGGCTCAGAATCTTGTTCTGAACCTAATGGTGGCCTTGGTTTCGTGGTTGGAGGTGTCTAGGTAAGGATTCTGGCTTGGGCAGTGGCTAAAAACGAAAAAAAAAGGAATAGGAAAATGACTTAAAAATAAATCAGAACGGGGAAGAGACTGGAATATAACCAGCTCTTGATACCATGA